CTGATAGTCGTCGTGGCTGGCCCCGCTTCCCTGGCTGAACTCGTCGTAGCTGCGGAATCGACGGGGTGTTGGTTCGGTATACTCGCCGTCGTAGTAGGTGTCTTGATAGGAGCGCCTACTGCTGCGGGACATCGCGGTCGGGTGGGCCGGACTGGCACCCGGTGTGCTTCCGCCTCCGGACGTGCGAGAGTAACTGGCCGTCCTCGACCTCGGGGGCGTTTCGTACCGGGTAAATCGGCTACTCGAGTTTGAAACCGTCACCCCGGAGTCAAAACTGCTGCGCTCCCGCCTGCAAGGAATCCTTCAAATAACGGGTGTACTATATTTCATGTTCTCTGCTGTATAACGGCGAGTATTCCTGCCAAGTATTCTTTGCCTTTTCTGAAATGTTTAGCAGCGACCTTCGCGTTCGATAGGTTTTACGCATTCTACAATGGAACGAGTAATTTTTGTATCGAGCAGGCTGACGCAGAAACGACGAGTCAGCTGCCTATCCCTCGAATTATTATTTGGTTGATTACCATAGTAAACGAAATTAAAAATTTTTTACTTGTTTTCGAAATTGGACGGCCAGGATAAATATTTATCAACTTAAAAATGCTTCGACTAAGTTGGTAGTGTGACCAGAAAAATATGCCGACTGCGAAGGATTAATTGTTGAAATTCAACACGTTGCAATGTACAACTTTGTTTTTACGCGTCGACGATGGCCAAATGAGAAATTTTGAGGTAGGTTAACTAATCTTCTCGAACGCGGAAAACGCGAAAATGGTAAAACAAAGATGTATTGTCGTTTAACTGCAAATACGTGCAGTATCTTACTTCTCTCTCAACTTGATAACACGTGCAACTTAATCCATAACGCGAGCAGCGTCCTTCGTACGAAAATATCTGCTAAACATTGCGGAAAAGTTCGTCGCATACATCGCAAGACGTTCTATGTAGCATTTATAGTGATTCGAAATTCTTCGTCAAAACATGTTTGTTTGTCTACGGAGAGCGTTCCATTTATCTCAGCCATTTTAGTACCCGCCTCGTTGCCCAAGTATAATCAACGACTTTTTCATGGTTAACAAAATTTCTTAATCCATGGTTATTTTAAAGTATCGAATCATCGCGCGTCCTCCTCCAGAGCTGCAGCTCGTTGCGAGAGTTTTATAAAAATGGTAACGCTTCAGCGAGATCGGCCGATACTGCGATAGAATAAAAACGATCTCCGCCAATTTTAACACAGTTGGAGGAAACATCCAGATGACGAAGAAAATTAAAACACTCGCCGCAATGGTAAAGAACGATTTAAAGCAACTACTTTAGAACGTAAGAATACCGAGATACAATTAATCGTCGTGAGAAAATATCTTGTTTCTGATGTGAGAACTATACATACGAGACATCGAAGGTCGCCGCCGGAGATGGCCTCGTGTCCCAAGGTTTCTCCCCAGCGATGCCCTGTCGCTCCAGATGCTCGTAAAACGTTTCCTGGCACTCTCTGGAGGCGAAGTCAACTTGAAGCCGGCGTCCACGAAGAGCGGCTCCTCGCATTTCCTTCACGGCGGCTTGTGCGCAGCTGATCTGCTCGAAGAAGACCAAAGCGTGTCCGCGTTCGCGATCCACGACCACCTGGTTTATCGGTCCGAATTGATGGAATTGCATGTTCAAGTATTTTTCTGACATACAATCTGAAACAACGTATAACGTATGGTTAACGCATCATTAGCACATACTTCGAAGAGAACGTTCTCTTCCTACGTATTTGTCAAAAAATCGCTAGCAATTGAAATCGTAACGCGTTTCCAATCGTATGTTTATTTATGAACGGTATGAAAATATACTACGGATAGATCGAAAGAGCCCTAAACGTAGTCTATAAGTAACGCCAAATGATCGTAATGAGACGCGATCGAGCGATGCGGGGCTTGAAACGCGCGTATATAATTCAGATATTCGTTGGAAAAGACGCGAGTTCGATGGCGCTGTAGCGCTTTAAGTACGCGTTTGTTTTTAGAATACGGTCATACTCGTCAATTTGCAATCACTTCAAAGACCAGTCTAACCAGTCTAGAGAACATCCTATCCTCGCGAGCCTCCAGCGATTTCGATCATTAGCAATTTTGTCCGACGAGAAAAATTATTCGGTGGCTTCTAAATCGTAAACTATACAATTTTATAGGTGGTTTTTAGAGAAATCGATGTAACTCTTTACGATAATTACCTCCGATACCGTCCACCCATACGCAGGACGTAGGCATCGACTTTCCAAATCCGAGTTTTATTCGATTCGCACCCAGGTGTTCGCCATCCATCGATCGCATAGCTTTAACGACGCTACCGATGTCGGAATATTGGCAGAAGGCATAGCTCGACACCGCGCCTTGTTTCTTAATATCTATCTCCTGTAACATTCAAATATGGTATTTAACTCTTTGTTGACGCCATTGCCGGCGTTTTTCTTTTTTTTTTTTTTTTTT